CTATAATCAAGCTGTATGGGTGGAGTATTCCCCGGCCAACTCCAGGAAGCTCCCTATCCAAAGCTATTCATTAGGCTGGGGCTGTGCAAATAATTAGTCTCCTACTTGCTCCATAACCCTGCTAGGCTGAAAGCCCAGCCGATGAGTCCAGGTGGGGCCATTAGACCACATTTGGGCAGGCGGCTTAGGCATTACCATGGAAACAGGAGGCTTTTTTTATTTTACTAAAAAGAACAAAACAACAGACGGCTGTTCTTTAGACAATAGGATCATGTCATCTGAGGCCTCAGTGCCCAGGTGACAAACCTTGCCCCCCAGTTCTCTTTCCTGGGCCTCCCCACACACATTCTGGAGGAGGTGAGTGCAGCAGTCTGCTCTAGGCCAGGCGGTCTGAGGTTGACAATGTGTCACTGCAAAGCCGCCCTTGCAGATGTTTCCTGGGCTGAGCCTGAACAAGGCTGAGAGCAGAGATTTGGCAGCAGGAGGCAATGGGTGGCGGCCCTGAACTCTGGGTCTTGATAGCCCTCCTGAAAAATATGAGCCAGGTGCAGGGGAGATAAAAATGCCCTGCAGTAAAGGATCCTAAAAAGTGCTTGTTATTTTAATTAATAAAAGGGCTTACAAGTTGGAAAGAAATGCCACATTTATGATCAATGATGAAGAGCACCACTTTGTTGACTGGCCCTGGGAAGATCTCAAGGAAAACAAAACATACTATTTCCTCTCCTCTTGTCCTTCATTCACGATCCATGTCTCCGCCCTACCTTCTTCAGGAAGCTTCCTTCAGTTACTCTGGCTTCCCTCGAACTCTCTTTTCTCTGAATTTCAGCAGCATGTGTCACGACAAAAGTAGTAGCGATAGCTCATGCTGAATGAGTGCTCTGTACCGGGCGTTACTCTAAGCATGGTACATGAATTACCATAATTCCTCCTCACAACAACCTCAGGTGATAGCTACTAATATTACCTTCACTTTATCAGTAATGACACTGAAGTTTGAAGGGCTATAGGTCACACAGCTAGTATGAGGCAAAGCCTGGATTTGAAGCCAGACATCTGACTTCAAAGTCCCAACCTACCCACTTCACTTACTCTCTCCCTTTAACTAATTCTTTTTTCTTTTCTTTTCTTTTTTTTATTCACCAAATATTCTAGAATATCCAATACAGCAAGATATTTGGCTGGAGATCGTGTAAGAAATGAAGGTGGACACAAAATAGCCTGAAACATGAACCCAAGGTCTTCAAAATGTGCAAGAGCATATAATACATTCCCAAATAAGAATGTTATGAGAAGAGGTAAGATCCCATCATAAGTAATGGTTGCCTTAGGATGTCTGTTACTGGCTTTATGAAGAGCCCACCACTTAAACAGAATTTTCAGGGAAAGAAAGCCAAAAGAGAAAGCATTTCTAACAGAAACATTTTCAAGCAAATCATAGCAGAACGCATGTTTGTAAACAGCGATTGTCTAGATTGATAAGAATGACAGACATATGAGCAGAATCCTGGGTAATAAGGACAAAATTGGTAAGTTATGGCCAGAAAATGAATATTACTTCATTTAGGGTTTATTTGTAGATAGAAGGAAGCCAATGAAGGTATGTGATTGAGCAATGGAATGGTACAAAAAGACAAGGCTTTGGAAAGAGTAATCTGCAGTATGCATGAGGATTAAGATGAAGGCAAGAGAAAAAATAAGGGATGAGATGGATGACTTTCACAGAGTAGGCAAGAGATAATGACAAGTTAAACCAGGATGAAATGGCAAAGGGAGCAGAGAGTTAGAACTGATGGGGAACACACAGAGAAAGTTGAATGAAAAGACCTGTTGACATACTGTACATGTAGGGGTCCCTGGAGGGGGACGGTTCCCAACTAGGGAGTGGGGGAGTATTGTGCCATTAAAAGAAAGGGAAAAGTTATGAGGATGTTATGGTTGGCAGACAAGAGGGGAAGGTTTATGTAAATGGTCTCAGAGAACATGAGTTTGAGATATATGTAAGTACGTAGAGCAGAAAGTTGAAAATCTTAGAACACAGCTTAGGAGAGATTTTAAATGTCCTGAAAGATGTCTAAGCATCATCCACAGAGTGGTGGCAGTTGTAATAGAAGGCAAAGATGAAAATGTCATGAAAACGTGTCCAGAATTTGCAGTAGATTTTTTATTATAGAAAGGAAAAGAATACAGGCTCTAAGCTCCCTGAAGGTACATTTCCCTGATGTAGATCTAATGCATTAGAACTCAACTTGGTACAGAAGAACATAAAATAGAAAAAGACCAAAGCTTTATAGACTTGGGGTAACTTAGAAAATTAATCTGTTTGGACGGCTGGGAAAACTTTGAATTCTGCTCTGTATAAAATACAAACAGATAAACTAATCTAATGTGTTGTTTTCCAGAAAGGGTATTGGGAGCATCCAAATTAGATCTAGAATCTCCTCTTAGAGCGATGACTTCCAAATTCACAATTACGGGAGCTTCCAGGCCACAAAACCACAGAACTGAATAATGATGGGCTTCATGTATGTCCTTTCTAAGCCCTTGGCAGTTTTCAGCTCTGAAATGTCAGCCCTTTCAGCGTGGTAGAAATGCTGTGCTCCCCATCTCTAAGTTTCATACACAAAATGGGGACAGAATTCTCAGCTTTAACACTGCAAGGAAACAACTTGTCAGACTCCCTGCAGAAGAATTTGAGATATTTTTCTAAATAGTAATTACTAGATGATGCATTTAATATTTTTAAAATCCCTTTTATCTCAGGAATCACTTCTAAGGATTGTTTGCCCAGTTTACAGATTAAAGGGGATAGATTCTGAACTAGGATTGCAGCCAGCTTTCTCCAAGTCAAAGTAATTAAATAGAAAGATTGTGTGAACACTTGAGATTGGTGGATATCCAACAATGGCCAAGAGCACACTCTGAGCAAGGCAGTACTCCAGTCACGGAATTTCCATCTGAATTTTCAGGTCATCTCTCTAAGATATATTTGGGGCAACAAGATGACTGTGCAGTGGTTTTTCTCTGGTGGTTCTGTGTAGCTTGAGGGATGGTTGAGGAGATAAACAAGGAGACAGTGTTACCACAGATACCTGAATTTGTTTTTTCTCATCAAAAGATATTCACCACATACTGGTTCTTTTTATCTCTTGCTGGTCCTATCAAAGGCATTGACGTGCACCCTCACCTAATTCTGAAATCAAACTTCTGAAGATTTAAAATTAAAAAAAAAAAAAAAGGATTTAACACACCATTTCATTTTTTTTAACCTCTTTCTGTTATTGTCTTTACACTTCCTGTTTCCCTGCATATGATGAAATTGCCTCACCTCAGCCTTATCTGCCAGGGGAAATGTTGAAATGTGTTATTTCTTGGGACCTAACACACTGATATAGATTAGCCTCATTGGTCTTATTTTTCAGATCCAAAGTGAGATCAAAAGCCTTAACTACGATCACTCAGCAACGGGAGAACTATGGCAGGAAATATTCACAGCTACCATACCCCACAGCATGGAGTATGGGAAAACAGAAGACCATCACCTCATCATCCTTACTTCAGTAGGTCACTAGATTAAAGGATTAGAAATGATAATCATGGGAAGAATTTTTAAAATTAAATTAAATGGAAAAAGTTGGAATTAGGAATTGGGTTTATTGTGTCTTCATAAAATTCGGGTAGGGGGGCGCCTGGGTGGCTTAGTCGGTTAAGCGTCCGACATTCGTTTGGGTCATGATCTCGCGGTTCGTGGGTTCGAGCCCCGCGTCGGGCTCTGTGCTGACTGCCAGCTCAGAGCCTGGAGCCTATTTCAGAGTCTGTATCTCCCTCTCTCTCTGACCCTCCCCTGCTCACGCTGTCTCTCTCTCTCTCTCCTAGAAATAAATAAAAATATTTTAAAAAATTAAAAAAAAATCAGTTAGGGAAGGGATTGGAGTATTCCAATCAATAATCTACCTCCATTCCAGTCTAACCAACATGTCCACGCTTCTACAAACCCACTTCTCCTCTTTTGTTAGAAGCATGGAGTCAGCCTGGACACCTTGCCCCCAGTCCCTGTCCTTCATGTCTGATCAATTTTTGTCATTAATGGACCCATGTTCAGTTTTAAGTTTGCCTCCTCAAAAATACACAGACACAAACATAGCTACCAATCCACCTATTTATCATGTTAAAACCATTAACACTGAAGGGAATTCTGACCCAGAGAAGGGGTATTTTATATTATTATGGTGCATTAAAATTATATAACGCAGAGATACTATTAAAATTCTTTAGTAAATTTGAATATTTTCAACTTAAGACATGTTAAGATACTCATGCCTATGAATAAATTAAAATGAATCTATTTTTCCACAAGAATCTTCAAAATTCTTTCAACTTGCATTTTACATTGGAGACCCACGTTCAGTCCATACTTTGGGGTGAAGACTCCTATAATCAAGTCACGGAATAGTGTTTGTGCTGACAATTTATAATCTTACCTAAGGTTTAAAAAAATGTATTTTTTAAATTGTTCTTCAGGGCTGAAAGATGTGAAGAATGCACATGGCATAGCTTATATTTTCTACAGAGTAAATACCCAAGAACTACACTGAAATCCAATGTTGGATTGCATCCAGTTTATGGTAGGGAACCACCAAAGCCAAGAAGGATCATCACCCAATTCACATTCCACTTCCAGTCATAGTACAAATGATTACACATTCACACTCACATGTACTCCCACACTCTCAACTGAGAGTGATGAGTCAGGACCTACAACTTTGGAGCCAACCTGCCAACAAAAATGATGCTCTTATAAATCCAGAAGCTTCTATTAGCATAGGAATTATGGCTTTATAGAACAAGGGTTGGTCTGAGGCAGAAACACACCCTGTTGTTATCTCAGGATACTTACTGCAAGAGAAGGTCACCATGGAAAATGCATTTATGACAGAGCTGTGGCAGAATGTGACATCACCCATGTGCTTAAACCTTTACCTACGCCTGGAAACACCAGACCACACAGAACAGGTTTACCTCAACATATGAAGGCCTCTATTCAACTGAAGGGGAGCCTAGGGACCTTGAAAGTGTGGGCAGAGCCTGAGAGAATGGAAAAATTGACCTGTCACTGTTGAATTCTCAGAACCTAACTATAAATACCATCAGGGCTTATTTGGGAGAAGAATGTAAGTTAATAAGTGTAAAGTCTGTGGATCTAAAGTAAAGAATGTGAATCAGATCTAATCCACCATGTATGTGCTAACAAAGGCCAGACATGTCCCTAAAATCTGCACGGTCTCAGGACTGGAGGAGATTCCAGGAGTCAGCCAGGACTGGTCTCCCTGGTCTCAGCCAGGAAGGAAGTTTCTTTTTAGGATGAAAACAGTACTTGTCTTAAGTGTAGAAGAGAAGGGGTGGGACTCCATACTTTGCACTCTCCATAAGCCATTTCCCACTTCTGTGCTCACTTTCTTATAGATAGGGCAGACTGAACTAGTTGACTTTCAAAATTCTTTCTAGTGTGGAATGTTTGTAGCTCTAAGTCCCTAGGTCCCGCCATGAAAATAAGACTCCAGTATTCTATGTTCCATGTTCCAATGTTCTCCAATATTTTAAGTTCAATCTTCGTTTCTCCATCCTCAAGGGAAACAGATGGATACCAAGTATCTTTTCTATTTCCTTAGATTTGATTTTTGTTTATTCAACCATCTCCATTTAGCAAACATTTAGTCAAATGCACGGCACCATGATAGAGATGGGAATTACTGTAGTAACTTGTCCTCAACTAAAAATTCTCCATGGCCTCTCGTATGTGTTTTTTTCTTTGAGCCTCATAATAACCCTGTGAATATAGGCAAATCAGGCATGCCTATTCCCATTTTGATAATGAGGATACTAGGAACTGGTGAGAACAGATGATTTAACAGTGATCATATATCTAAAAATTATGAAAGACAGGGCCAGTAATCTCATTTTTTTAACTTTTGGACTAATTTCTTTATTATTATTATTATTATTTCTTTATTTTTTTAACAGTTTATTGTCAAATTGGTTTCCATATAACACCCAGTGCTCATCCCCACAAGTGCCCTCCTCCAATGCCCATCTCCCCCCTCCCCCCTACATCCATCAGTCCTCAGTTTGTTTCTCAGCATTCAAGAGTCTCTCATGGTTTGCCTCTCTCCCTTTCCCCCACCATTTCCCCCCTTCTTCTCCCCCATGGTCCTCAGTTAAGTTCCTCCTAATCCTCCTATACGTGCAAACATGTGATATTTGTCCTTCTCTGCCTGACTTATTTCGCTAAGCATAACACCCTCAAGGTTTTGGACTCATTTCTGATCTAACATTCCAAACAGCCTCACCAAAGTAATATTCTGAATTTTTAATTAAACATTATGCTTTACAGAACACTCTTCAAACAAAAATATCTGTTTATCTTTATTTTTTTAATTTATCTAAATTTATTTATTTTTATTTTTTTTACAAATAGTTTATTGTCAAATTAGTTTCCACATAACATCCAGTGCTCATCCCCACAAGTGTCCTCCTCCATGCCC